TTATATTTTCTCTGTTACTTCACATTTGTTATCAAGAGCTTTTCCTATGTTGAGGATGAAGTGAAGGATTGTGGTTTAAACAAATATGAATTAAACATATTTTCTAAAAAAACTAATTGTCTTTATTCTTTTCATGAGGTTTAAAGACAATAAGAAAAATGCAGAGACTCTGCAAAGCCGCTCAGTGAGTCCTTCAAATACTTCATGAACCTTCTAATGTTGACTTCTGAGAAAAGAAAGTGATGAGGACAAATCTTCAGCAAACTGTTATCAGAACAACTAAGACGTCAGCGATGTCTTCAACTCGGCCGCAAACCAGAAATACCTGTGATGAAAAACTCTTATTGCCCACAAACAACAGGAGCTGTGGACCTCTGAGGGATTAAAGTCCGTGAGGGACAAAGTCTCTCTGTCTGTCCCAAAACAAAATGTCCCAGGTCAGCTGGGTTTCCTTCGGGGTGCATCCTCCAGCCTCCTCGTCACAGGAGAATCCCTCGGGGCAGCAGTGCTTCGAGTCGGAGCAGCAGGTCGCCTGCGGAAAGAGAAAACATCCGTTAGAGCGAGAAGCCGGAGAGTTTGATTCCTACAGGTGATTTATTTTAAATTCTAATTTGAACTCTGTGTTCCTGAGAAGCTGCAGGTGAGAACGATCTGTTCAAGGATTCAACATCATGAAGTATGACGGAGAGGTGGAGTCTGTCCGTACCTTTGGCGAGGGGCAACACGCCCACTCTGTGGACGACGTCCTGCAGCACGTGTCTTTTCTGGGGCAGTGAAATTCCCCCGTGCTGTCACATGGTACGTCCTCCGCGTCTCCGGGCTCGGACCGAACCACTTTGCTCTGAGGGAGGGTTTGGATCAGCTCATCGCCGTTCTTCTTCTCACACGTTCCCGTCTGCATGTTGCAGGTGTAGCCCTGAGGGCAGCAGTGCTCGTGGTCCGCACAACAAACCGCCTGCGGAGGAGAACGGAGACGAATCAATATTCTGACCGTCACTTCGTTGAACGTAATAATAAAGCGTGTGATGCACAAACCTTGACCAGGGGGCAGCAGCCCCACTCTCCTGTCGCTAGTTTACAGCAGGTCGTCCCCGAAGCACAGCTGCTCTTGTCGTCACACTTGACGTCCGTCACGGCGCCGGGCTCGGTCACCGCGCTGAGTTTGGTGAACCAGGGGATAGAGTGGGAGCCCTTGGAGCACGAGGAGCGGTGAGGCTCGCAGGTGTGACCGCTGGGGCAGCAGTGGTTCCCGTCGCTGCAGCAGACCGCCTGAGGCACAGCAGCGAGAACTCAGAGGTCATCATTCGTTTGCCTCGTTGTGAGGTTGTGAGGAAATCGTGCGTTTACCTTCGGCAGAGGACAGCAGCCCCACTTGTGGGTCCTGTCCATGAAGCAGCAGGTGGTGTCTTTGGGGCAGCTGGTGCTGGTGTCACACATGTTCTTCGCCTGCAGAGCGGAAACAGCCTGGCGGAGCTCCGTGGTCAGCGGCGGGATCTTCTGCAGCCACGGCCGGCTCACGGCTCCGGGCTTATCACACGTCTGCGCGGCCATGTTACACTTGTAGCCTTGGGGACAACAGTGCTCGTGATCGCTGCAGCACACGGCCTGCAGAGGATGAAGAGCACTTTAAGATTTCCAACAAACAAGTCAGTCTTCCTCGAAACGTAAACCACAGGAGTTGAAAACCAAAGATGAATCGGTGACAAACACTTTAAATTATTGATGAATCTTATTATTATTTTCATTAATTATATAAAAAGACATAATCATAAATCTTCACTACAAACACTGAATATTTGACGTTTCAGTTTTTAAAAAATGATGATTTGTTTATCAGAATGAATTCTCTTGACTTATTATTTCTCTCTACAGGACATTCATGTCCGTCTGAGGACAGGACCGCTCTGTGACGGCTGACACTGATCAAACTGATCTTATAAAACACACTCGCTCAGCGAGGAGGAGGAGGAGGAGGAATCTGACCTGAGGCAGGGGGCAGCAGGCCCACTGTCCGGAGTCTTTCTTACAGCAGGTGGTTCCTCTTGGACACATGGTCTCCTGGTCGCACTTCTCGTCCTGGACCTCCAGCGTCACTGCAGAGACCTTCTCCGCCCAGGGGACGGACGCTGAAATACCTGACGGGTCATCGCAAGATTCAGCCTCCAGGTTGCAGACGGTCGCATGAGGGCAGCAGTGGATGTGGTCGTCGCAGCAAACAGCCTGACGGGCGCACAATAGAACGACGCGTGACGCTATGTTAGCTACAGGCTAAACACCGGAACACGTTCTTTAGGCTCTTGTGCTTCCTCACCCCACTGTCGTCTCTCACCTGAGGCAGCGGACAGCAGGCCCAGTCTCCAGTTACCGTTTTGCAGCAGGTGGATTTTCCAGGACAAGAAGTGGATTTGTCACACTTGCTGTTGTCCGTCACGATGGGGGAGGCGGGTGTGTGGGGAAGCCAAGGCATCACCGCCATGTTCGCTGTGGGGTCATCACACGTGGAGGCCGCCAGGTTACATATGGTGCCGTGGGGGCAGCAGTGCAGGTGGTCCTCGCAGCACACGGCCTGCAGAGGTGAAAACAGTAAACACACACACACACACACTGCAGCGAAGACGTGAATCACATTTTGTTGATTGTCGGGGGGGGGGGGACATCTGTCTGTGCTGGTACCTTAGGTAACGGGCAACACGCCCATTCCTCCGATGGCGTTTGACAGCAGGTATATCCGTCAGCACAGGCCACAGAGTCGTTACAGGGAACAGCAGCAACTGAGAAATAAACACAAAGATCAGTGAACAAATAATCTTAAATTCAATTTAAGGATCGGAAGCTAAACTGTGTCATGAAGTAATATGTGCTGCGTCTGGACGGTTTAACTGCTCCAGGTCTCACCTCTGCTCTGCGCTGCCACCAGCTCCGTCAGAGCAGCTGGGATCTTAGAGGCCATGATGGCGTCTCCCCGGGTCGACACACAGGTGCTGTGCCGCAGGTCGCACTGGGTTCCTTCAGGGCAGCAGTGGATGTGATCTGAACAACAGACGGCCTGCACCACGAGAGGACGGTGATTCCACCAGGACTTATTTTCTTACAGTGACTTACAGCTATTTATTTTAGATTTGACCGTCGAGCGTCTCTTACTCACATTGGGCATCGGACAGCAGCCATAAGAGCTGTTGTCCATCTCGCAGCACGTGGTCTGATCAGGACAGGCGGCCACTTTGTCTGGACACACAACTGACAGGACGAGACGTAACAACAGATCAACACTTCAACACGACAAGCTGTAAGGCTGCAGTTCTAACTGAGATGAATTTAGACATCTGAAATATGCAGTTTCCACTCAAATGAACGTGAAGACGTAGGAGGAGCCGCTCACCGTTGTGAGGAAGCGCAGGGATCTTCTTCAGCAGCGGCACTCTGGTCTCACCGGACTTGCAGACCCCATGTCCCAGGTCACATATTGTGTTGCTGGGGCAACAGTGGACATGATCACTGCAGCAAATGGCCTGGACAAAAAAAAAACATACAGTCAATACAGTTCTCAGGTTGTTTTATAACTCAGGTTGAGGTTTAATCAGATGTGCAGGAATGTAGTTCCATAAAAATAACATCTGATTACCTGAAGTAAATATCTGAGCCTGACAAATAAGATGCTTATCAAAAATGTTGATGCATAGTTTTGTGTTAACTGATTCACTGAGTTTCAGCTCTCGTCCTGCGAACCTGTGGGTAAGGACAGCAGCCGTAGTCTCCGCTGGGTAAAAGACAACAGGTGTAACTATCTGGACAACTGCTCTTCCCTGGCAGACACGTCACTGAACCCACGGTTTGAGCTGCAGAAACTAAAAGAAGGTAGAAAGACACGTCGTCGGAGAGGGAAACAGATGACAGTGACTTTAATTATTTTCCAACTATGAGACATCTGTTTCATATTAGATCTGTCAAGAAGACCGCTGGGCCTCGCATGGCTGATCTGAGAGTTTGCTGTATTTACATGAGGATTTTCACACCTGGGTTATTCTCCCTCCGTATGGCCGGGAGTTTCTCCACCATGGGGACGGACTCCAGTGACGCAGAAACACACATTTGCCGATCGGTATCACACTTTGTTCCCTCGGGACAACAGTGGTGCTTATCATCGCAACACACCGCCTGCAGAGGGCAGAGGAGACATGGACGGACAGTCAGGAACGCTCTTCAGTGAAGGACACAGTCTCCTGCTCATAATTGAAACGTACTGATGCACAACTTGAAGCCGATTACAGAAGCTTTTAATGTGAAAACACACAAGGTCGTAGCTATTTATTATTTCTATCAGTTTTTTATTATTTCCAGTAAAAAATGAGAAATTAAAAGTAGCTGAGTGATGACATTGTTGTAGAACAGATTAATTAGCGTTGTGGAAAAGCACATTATACAGAATTTATTATGTGAGATGTTGTAGTTGGCTTCAGCTTGTTCCCCCAATTTTTTAAACGTGCTTTTATTTATTCCTGCTGTCCAGACTGCCTCGGGTCAGAAGAAGAGTCTTAAATAATAAGTTGTGTGCGTGACAGCGAACTCGTGTTTCACCTTAGTTAACGGACAACAGCCCCAGCTGCCGTTATGAAGCTGGGAGCAAGTATAGTCATCCAAACACGAAGACACCTGGTCTGGACATACGTTTGTCTTCACTCTGTCACGGAGCTGGAGACATCACACATCACAGTCCATGAGGCGATGACAGACGCACACAAACACAAAACAAAAAGACGTCACAATAACAGGACTACAAATGTATGGAGTCACTTAAATTACATCAGAAAACACTGGCAGGTCTCCACTGTCAAGATAATTAATAAGAAAAGCTGCACGTCCTCAACTTCAAGTTACCTGAGGGACTTCCAGAGTCTGTTTGGCAGGAAGACGTCTCACCCAGGGCAGAGACACTGTCTTATTTACACATTTCTCATGAGACAGATCACACAGGGTCCCCTCATAGCAGCAGTGGAGGTGGTCTGAACAACACTCAGCCTACAGACGAGAGCGTGCACAGATATTACAAACGACCCAATCAAGGACTGAGCACTACTGACGGTTTCAATGAGAGACATCAGTCGGACACACCAACACACACTCACATGTGGTAGCGGACAGCAGCTGTATGTTCCCATTAAGTTCTTGCAGCACGTGTTTTTGTCCTCACACATGCCTCCATCAGGACAAACCAGCGCTGTGCTCAGGCCGAGCAGAGCCAGAAACAAGATCCCCATCTGAAGCTCCTGGACGTAAGAAGCGGAGGAGACGACAGTTTTTAAAAACCTGAACCGTGGCCAAGAAATATAATCTTATCTCTGGTTTCTGTATTTGTTTCTGGTTGTGATGAAACCATGAAAGGTCATGATAACACAGGTGAGTGTGTCAGCGGCTCTGCAAGCATTCCAGCAGATAAACTGGATTTCCACACTCAACAAACCCTGACAGGTTCACATGCCACCAACATACATAACACGTATGTTCAGCTCTACACGTCGTCAACAGCACAAATAACAGTCAGCCGAGTTTGGAATAAGAGATTTAGATAAACTGTTAAATCTTCTTTCTATAGTGAACATGACCAGATAATGTTCTGTGTGTACTGTCAGGTACAAAGCATCGTGTTACATATATTTTATACAAGATCTTGTAAAAAGTAAATGAAA